AATCAGAGCCTCTCCAGTTTTTGTTATGTTAGACCTGGGCGGCTTGGCTCTCTCCAAAGTCTGTCTCACTTTCCATCTCAGTTCAGCTTGAGGGATGTTCAATGCCACCTCCTCGACTCTGACAATGATGTCCAGGTATGGCATTCGCCTGATGGTTGTGGCGAAGTTGAGACCCTTATTCAATATTGACTCCTCAGAGGCACTCAGCTGATATTGGCTGATGTTGACTACTGCTTTCACTGGTGGGTGATGGACCTTGTGCGTCACTTTCTGATCTTTCAATTTATTTAATTTTTGTACTTGGCGAGCCTTGACGACATCAAATTCATGTCTGAAGGATTTATCCAGGTCATTTTGGATCCTTCTCTAGTCTTCTTCATTAGGAATTCTGTTGAAGAAATCTTCGAGCCTCTGAGAGATATGAGCTTGTAGACTCTGTTTTATCCAACGATTGTACTGGATTCTCTCTCGGACAAGGGCGTGTCCCGCTTTCTCTGCAACCAGACGGGCTCTCCTTGAATTGACGGGATGTCTTGGTGCCAAGCCTGAAGGGATGAGTTGTAAATATCTGCATCGGTGTAGGAATGTCAGATGGTTCGATATTCGTGCCAGTTTCTGGTAGAATTTTTCAATTTGTCTCCATATTTTTGGTATATCGGGTCCGTACTGGTCCTTCAATATCTGTCTATGTTTTTGGGATAGTCCGAATAATGTAAATAATGTACATAATACCTCATCACAGAAATATAGACAGATAAAACAACACAATATTTGATATATATATATCTTGGGTTGGAAATTAAAAACAACACAATATTCATACCCAACGTTTCCCTTGCTAGAAACTAACCTTGCTTCAAATTTAGGTTTTATATTTAGGTGATATATATATATATATATATATATATATATATTCTTCTGTTCATGTGTTTTGTGTGTGTGTGTGTGTGTGTGTGTGTGTGTGTGTGTGTTTGTGTTCATGAAAAAATTATTTGTCTAAATACAATAAAAAATTCTTTGGAAAAAAAGACAAGAAAAAGAAAATATTCATATGGATGAATAATATAAAAATTAAATATTAATAATGGTTCATTTTAAACAAAATTTAGAACCATCATCACCCACATCCTGAATCCTGAAGCTATATGACACACAAAGAAAGCAAACCAATATGTCAGATTACAGCTAGAACTCCCCATTTAGGAAATTAAAACAACACAATATTCATACCCAGCATTTCTCTTGCTAGAAACTAACCCCGTTTCAAATTTAGGTTTTATTCTAATTGAAAATAAAGGCAATATTAATCATGTTATTTGACTGAGATAGTTAACACTTTTAGCTGAGAGTCACCCAATGAAGACAGACATAAACTATTGATACGTTTCCAGAATTTAAAACTTAATCTGTTATTCAAATACTTTCATAGTATTATTATTCAGTCAGCAAAATATTTTCTATGGCTTTCGCCATAGAATTACGCCATCTTTGACCTAAATCAAAGATTTTTACTAAATCGTTTTAAACTAGTGAGGCATGGTATTATTTTTTTGTTATATACATTTGGAAAAAATGTGCACCCTTCGGTTTTACTATAAATTAAAAAGAATAAAAAAATTTAATTTAGAATTATTATTAACATTGAATTGTTTTCTAGTGAGCTCAAATTTCATTCTACATTATTATTTCATGATTAAAATAAAAAAATATATGATATAATAACATTTCATTCAAATATTTTATATTTCCACCTTTCAGTTTTTTATTATATAAATTTGAAACTATATATATTTAACTATCTTTTTTTTTTTAAATTTTTCTCTTTCATGGATGCCCATGGTCTTTGGAGGTTTATTTAGAAACCAAGTTAATTATCCTTTAATGCTTCCTTCAAACATGAATTGCAGTAAAATTTTTGATATGTAATGAAAAAATTTAATTGAACTATTTATGCAATTTTTTTTATCCAAAAGTGGGGTAATGGCCTAAAAATATTTTAAATATTCTGTTTATTTTTGGATCTGATATATTCCATCATTGCTTTGTAAATAACCCCATAGACATACATAATTTATTATAGGGTCACAAGTTCTTGTTTAAGTTACTGCCCTGGATTTCGCTATCAATGAGGAAAATTCTTGAGTTTTTCCGTCATTTTATTTTTTTTTATAGTTTATATCCCCAAAACTTTTATTTTTCTATTTTTCCTTTATTTTCTTATAAAACGTTGTTTATTATTTTTTTTCAAAAAATATTTCTATATTTAACTTTAAATTTTATAAAACGTTATTTCATTGTATAATTTAAAAAAATTTTTTTAAAAAAATTTTCGTATAAAAAATTGCTTCCTTTATTTTCTTATAAAAAGTTTCTCACTTTATTTTCTTATAAACCGTTGCTTCCACAGTTTTATAAAAATATTGTCTTCTTTATTTTTTTATTAAACAAAATATTCTAATTTTTTTCAGAAATTCATATTGCAAAATTATTTTTTCATTTTTTAATAAGCAAGAAAATAAAAATTATTTTTGTTTTAAATTTTTTTCATATCGCAAGTCACTAAGGTAAAAAAGGTTACTGACTTTGTTCATAATTTATTTTAAATTACAAAAAATTAAATTAAGGTGAGAAAATATGACATTGCATTTAAAAAAAAAAAAAAAACATTGCATTTAAATTTTTTAAATAAGTTCTTCACATACATAAATTTTTTTCCCTTTAAAAGAAAATTATTATTATTATTATTTTATTAAAGCCTAACTTCACCTCCAAAATAAATTGATAAAATTAACTATGAAAAACGTTAAATTAGTCAGGAAAGAATCTGAAAAAAAAACCTGTACAGCCAGTATATATAAAAATTTTCCATGAAATTTGATTTTCTTTATAAATATGTTGTTGATAAAAAGTCAGACGTAGAAGAAAAAAAGATTGATTCCTTTTTTTTTTTCACCAACTAAATAAAAATCCATTTTTGATTAAAACAAAAAAGAAGGAAAAAAAATCTAAAAAAACAAGACCGATAAATAATATACACAAAAATATATAATTAACAAGTTAAAATACATGGAAAAAAATTTTTAAAAGGATGAAGTGTGTGTGAATATTCTGTATTGCGTTTAAAAATTGTATTGTGTAAGCACGCCAGCATTTCCAATCCCCCAGAAAGACTAAAAAGCAATTCATTTTGATAGCTGTAAAAGATCTAAATAAGAAAATTATTATTAATATTGATCTTATTATTAAAAATAATAACATCCTCCAAATTGGCTATTTATCGAAAAGAGAAACGCCACTTTAGGGAGTGGACAACGCGAATCATGAAAAGAAAAATATATTTGATACTGGACAAACTTTCAGGTTATATTTCTATATTAAAATATATATATATATATATATATATATATATTTATATGTATTATATATGTGTGTGTGTGTGTGTGTGTGTGTGATTGAGACGAAGTGTAATTATAGGATGAAGTCTAAAAGAGTTTAATCCTGGTTATGACGATAAAAAAGATCCGGCATTGGTTCAAACGTTTGATTTAGGTTTTTTGAATTAATGGAACCACCTCTTAATTGCTGGTATTCTCAGGTCTACAAATCAACCAGACAACCGTCCTGGGTAAGATGATAAACTTCGTCCAACAGCTATGGACAAATAGGGAACCGAACCTCCACCCCCTCCACCCGATATCAACAGTTAAAACACTAGGAATTATATTAAAAGTACCAGCAATAAATTTTTATAAAAATTGCGCAACGATACATTTTATAGTAAAATGACCAACAACGCATTTCATAAAAAAATTAACGTTAATAAATTTCTATAGCAAAATGACCAACAATAAATTTCTATAGCAAAATGACCAACAATAAATTTCTATAGAAAAATGATCAACAATAAATTTCATAAAAAAATTAACAATATATTTTTATTGTAAAATTACCAGCTATATATTTTTATAGTAAAATTACCAGCAATGCATTTATAAAGTAAAATGACCAACAATACATTTCTATAGCAAAATGATCAACAATACATTTCTATAGCAAAACGGTCAACAATACATTTCTATAGCAAAATAACCAACAATGCATTTCATAAAAAATTAACAATATATTTTTATTGTAAATTTACCAACAATATATTTTATAGTAAAATTACCAGCAATGCATTTGTAAAGCAAAATGACCAACAACACATTTCTATAGCAAAATGACCAACAATACATTTCTATAGCAAAATGACCCACAATAAATTTCTATAGCAAAATGACCAGAAATACATTTCTATAGTAAAAGTGAAGACATGGCAAACATTGACAAAAAATTAAAATAAAAAAAAAGTCAATTTTCTATAAGGGTTCATTAACGGAGATATAACGTTTGTAGATACAAAGAGTATAGACATCAGAATCAACATTACAAGTTAAAAGCTGCACATTGCAATGTGCAACCGAGAGTCATCATGCAGTGTTGATTCCTATACCCAATCTCCTTCTCTCTATTCCATCTTTAGGAGATAACAACGATTTTTCCAGATGACAAATCTTACTATTTAACCCATAGCTGGAGGAAGATACCTTTCCCAATGCTATTTGCGCATAAGTGAATGTAATGGAGTCGACTGGAATTCGAACTCGGCTTTCCGATTTCTCATTTAGAGCAGCTATCCCTTACACCAACCGCACATCCACACATAGAGAGGGAAAGATTGCGAAAAGAGATCACAGTAAGAAGATTCATTTTTATTAAGTGTAAAGTCAATATATTTAAGATGAAAAGAATTATTACGGGACCATTGCTTAGGATTGATTATAAAACTTCGAAAAAAAAAAAAAAAAAAAAAAAAAAAAACATAATTTTAAAAAAATGGAAACTTATATAATGAGATATCCAGAAAACAAAACATTTGTATCCGATTTTTAAGGATACATCAACTTTGGAGAAAAAAAAATCTTTAAATTAAAAATAGAATAATTAAAAAATATTCTTACAATTTTTCCTTTTTTTTCTTCTTCCTTTTTTTTTTATATCATTTTTACGATCACAAGCAATGACATCTTATTCGGAACGTCACGTCTCTTGACAAGTTGAGGCTTTCTTCATGACGCCTAAGCAGAAATTATCAACTTTTTGTTCACTGAGACCATTCAAATAAACAGATCTTGTTTGTATCGAAGATTGCGTACCTCCAATATAAGAAAGCTGAATCCAGGCAGACGAAAATAACAGGTTAAAAAAAAAGAAACAAAGAAACAACAAACAAGCGTGAGTTAGATTCTCAACATATTAAACCGTCCGTCAACTTTCTAGTCACAAGTGAAAAAACAAAATAAAGTAAAACGGAACGTAACATTATACAAAGCAGAGGAGACTTGAGTGTGTAGCAGGAGTGGTTTCTTGTGGGAATAATAAAGTTGTATAACTTATACTACTCCAGAAGGGGTTTTATATTTAGCGTCATTATACAGCATTTTTTTTTAATTCGAGATTATATAAAAACACTTTTCTATAATCATGAATCAAAAGTCTACTAATTTTACACATATTTTCTTCTTTATGTGCATTTAATGAAAGGTTGTGAAAAATTTTTTTTCATTACTATTGTTAAATACATATCATAAAGAAAATAAAGAAGAAATTGTGTGTAAAAAACAAGAAATGCTAAAAAAATATATAAATCTAAAAGGATTCACGCTTTAAATGCGTAGACATAATATATATATATATACATACATACATACACACACATATATATATATATATATATATATATATATAAAATAAAATTCGCTTGAGGATGAAATGTAACTAATGTCTTTAATTTAATTACAAAATTAAATTCGTGGCTTTTAGCTTCCATTTTTTGAAACATGGTTAGAACTGTGTAGCGAAAAAAAAATATTTTAAATCAATTAATTTATAATATTAATGCTCTGTAAATTTACATTGAGCAATATTTTGTAAAAATAAAAATATCTATAAGAACACCGGATTATATATCTTACTGTTCTTTCTTTTTATATATATATATATATATATATATATATATATATATATATATATATATATATATATATATATATATATATCCATCTGCTATATATTTATTTATATATATATATACATATGTATCTTATATATATATATATATATGTATATATAAAATCAAAACGATTCAAAACGATTGGAAGAGTAGACTAACAATATATATATATAAAATATATATTTTCATAGATAATAGATATATATATCTGTAGATGTATATAGATATAGATATATATTGAAACATGGTTTTTAATCAATTATTGTCCTAATATTTATTATTAAATTTAAACATCAGACGTCGACATTTTTAAAAATATTAAAACAACATAATATTTTTATATATTTTTATATATTATATATATATATATATTTATTCATTCTATCAATTTATAAGATTTATATTTAAATATCATATATATATATATATATATATATATATATATATATATATATATATATATATATATATATATATATATATATAGACTAGATATCCGAATGCTAACCTCAATCAAAACCCGACTGATTTGGAGTCATTTTTTTAATATATATATATATATATATATATATATATATATATATATATATATATATATATATATATTATATATATATATATATATATATATATATATATATATATATATATATATATATATATATATATATATATCAAGAGTAGGGTTGAATAGATATATGACGTAAATCCTGCATTTGTTCTAATTAGTAAATATATAGTGACAAAACATACCAGCAGTATATATACCATTGAACTGGAAATGATTTTACTCTAGAGCATTACAATTGTTTATACGTCAAAATTTTCATTCTCTCTAATGATTCCATATAGTGTAACAAAAAAATACAAGTACTATAGATGTATAGAAATATTTTTTTACTATAGAAATGCATTATGATTACATATATAGTGACCAAAAAATATCAGTAGCATATATAGAAATGTACTGGGAATGATTTTGCTATAGAAATGCATTACAGGTATTTATTTAAAAAATATGTTAAAACTTTTATCAATCTAATGATTACATATATAGTGATACGAATACTAAGATTATATATAGAAATGCAGTGGAAATAATTTTACTAGAGGAATGTATAAAAATATTGATTAAGCAAATAGATCAAAACTCTTATTAACTTTAAAAGTGTATATAGAAATGTATTGGGTATGATTTTACAATAGGAATGCATTACAACTATTGATTAAACAAATATGTCAAAACATTTATTATTAGCTTGGTACAAAAATAATCTCGTTTTCTCACATAGTAACATATGTTAGAAAACGAAATTATTTTTGCACCAACCTAATAACTTTAAAAATATATATAGAAATGTATTGGGAATGATTTTACTTTAGGAATGCATTACAATTATTGATTGACAATTATTGATGACAAATATGTCATAATTTTTATTCACTCTAATATTTAAATATACAATGACAAAAAGTACCAAATGCATATATTGAAGAAATGCACTCGAAATTATTTTACTGATTTTTTTAAATTTATTTTTACAATAATGTTCACTCTGTACAAGTCTCAAGAGCCACTCGAAGCATAAAGTTACAGAATTACAGTTTCTGTGGATATGCGAGGAAGATTTTATTGGTAGGGGAAGCATCTTCTCGGGAGTCGGTTCCACTAATAAGCGGTTCGGGAGAAGAAGCTGTTTGAGTAGAACATATCTCCTACAGTTGAATACGAAGGGAATGAAGGTGGTTCGCTGCAAATCGTGTGGCATCACGAGTCTTAGCCGTGAAAGAACAGTTGGATCTAGAGAATGTAGTTCGTCTGAACACTTTACATGGATAGAGCGCTAAAGCAATGCGTGGTTTGCGATATTTAGATTGTGGGGAAAAGGTTTGTAGGGTAGGTAACAATTCATCATCCACAAGGACGCGGAGACACTTTTGGGCTCCATCAAAATTTGAAAGTGAAGGCTGCATTACAATTATTAATTAAGCATTTTATTTTTTATTACATTGAGGTTCACCCTGTACAAGGCCCGGGAGCCGCTCGAGGGAGAGGTAACCCCCTCCGAATAGGAGGTACAGTGTATGCAGATACGTGGGAACGACAACGGTTAAACCTATACTTGAAAAGGTTAAGAGTGTAAAGATCGGGAAAGCATCCTCTTGGGAGTCGGTTCCACAGATCAGCGGTTCGCAGGAAGAAGCTGCTCAAGTAGAACTTCTCACGGAGGGAATGAGCATGACACTGTAGCGAATCAACCTCATTTCCTCCGTCTCAATCTATTTGTTTTGTTTTGTTTTACGGCATATCAACCTCAATGGGTCATTTAATGCCGATGACTTTTTTTCCGATAATATTTTTGTTTTGTGAGAAATCCATTTCTATCAATATCTCTTTCCTCAGAAATATATAGCTGGTAATTGTATTTTTCCAAAAACTTGTAGCTGGCATATCTTTTCAAAAACATATTGCTGGTAATATATTTCTTTCAAAAATTGATTTCTGGTAATAATTTTTTATTTATTTATTCTTCTCCAGTTCCATTGAAATATCTTATGTGTATTTGTGATCATTGTTTTCCTATTTGGTTCATTGGATTACTTATGTTTTAAGGTTTGTTTAGGTTTTTCCTTTCAAAAACGCATTGTTGGCAACATTTGATTTTTGCTGGCAAAAAAAATTATTGCTGGCAACATTTAAGTTTTCAAAAATGTATTGCTGGCAACATTTGGTTTTCAAAAATGTATTGCTGGCAACATTTGGTTTTCAAAAATATTGCTGTAACATTTGGTTTTCAAATGTATTTTGGTTTTTAGTTTTTTCAAAAATGTATTGCTGGCAACATTTGGTTTTCAAAATGTATTGCTGGCAACATTTGGTTTTCAAAAAATGTATTGCTGGCAAAATATTTGGTTTTTTCAAAATGTATTGCTGGCAACATTTAGTTTTCAAAAATGTATTGCTGGCAACATTTGGTTTTCAAAAATGTATTGCTGGCAACATTTGGTTTTCAAAATGTATTGCTGGCAACATTTGGTTTTCAAAAATGTATTGCTGGCAACATTTGGTTTTCAAAAATGTATTGCTGGCAACATTTGGTTTTCAAAAATGTATTGCTGGCAACATTTGGTTTCCAAAATGTATTGCTTTTTTTTATAAAAATGCAACATTTTTTTTCAAAAATGTATTGCTGGCAACATTTGGTTTTCAAAAATGTATTGCTGGCAACATTTGGTTTTCAAAAATTTTGGTTTTCAAAATTTTTCATTTGGTTTTTCAAAAATGTATTGCTGGTAACATTTGCAACATTTTTTTTCAAAAATTCAAAAATGTATTGCTGGCAACATTTTGGTTTTCAAAAATGTATTGCTGGCAACATTTGGTTTTCAAAATGTATTGCTGGCAACATTTGGTTTTCAAAAATGTATTGCTGGCAACATTTGGTTTTCAAAAATGTATTGCTTTTTTTTTTGGTTTTCAAAAATGTATTGCTGGCAACATTTGGTTTTCAAAAATGTATTGCTGGCAACATTTAACTTTTTCAAAATGTATTGCGTATTTTTTAAAAATGAAAAATGTTTTGCTGGCAACATTTGGTTTTTAAAAATGTTGCTGATGGTAACATTTAGTTTTCAAAAATGTATTGCTGGCAACGCATTGGTTTTCAAAAATGTATTGCTGGCAACATTTTGGTTTTCAAAAATGTATTGTTTTGAACATTTGGTTTTCAAAATGTATTGCTTCAACATTTGAAAAAATGTTTTGGTTTTTTTCAAAAATGTATTGCTGGTAATATTTGGTTTTTTTACTGTTCTTTTTTTAATTTAAAGCTTCAAAAATGTATTGCTGGCATTTTTTCAAAAATGTATTGCTAGTAATATTTAGTTTTCAAAATTATTCTGGCAATTTTTGGCATTTTCAGAAATGTATTGCTTTAACATTTGGTTTTCAAAAATGTATTGCTGGCAACATTTGGTTTTCAAAAATGTATTATCTTAACATTTATTTTCAGAAATGTATTGCTGGAAAACTTTGGTTTTCAAAAATGTATTTTACTGG